GACATTGTGGGACGGCGTGGGACCATTTGGGCCAGTCTGTGACAGTTTGGGGCTGCTTTAGGACAGTTTTGGAACAGTTTGGGCAGCTTGGTTGAGGGGTTAAGATGCTTTCAATAGACATTTCTTTCTTGGTTTGCAGTACGGAGACACCAGTGCATTCCTGCTTTATTCTGGGCTGCGGTTTGAAGATGGGGGTGATACTATGCCGCTGTGGTTACCAGCAATTTGGCTGTGGGCTTTTACGTTTCTTCCCCCCGTCAATATACATAATTGTACGCACATATATATAAATGTTCAGTACATTAGACCTGCACATTTCTGCACACACACAGCCTCAAAGCAACATTCTTTTGAAAACACACATCAAAATCCAGGAAGTGTGATTCTTTAAAAAAAGTTGTGTGCTTGAATCAGACACCTGGTATCTTTTGTCTAGTCTTCACAGTCTAAACTTACAAACCACATATGAGTACGGGAAAAGCACCTCGAAAAAAAAACCATTATGAGTCGTTCCCGCAAACATGTTTTTTCTACTGCAATAAAATCACTAAAAACTAAAAACAAATGTAAACAAGCAATTTTAGGCAACAAATATTTAACAGCTCAGGAAAGAATACTTAGTTTTCTGCCTAAAAAACAAAGTCTAACTCGAAGTGTGAATTACTAAACAAATTTCAGTAAACTGTTCAATCTCTTCTAAAAATAGAACTCTGCTGTTTTATATATAGCATTGTGGAGGAAAACTCTTCAATTTGAACACCACAGCAAGAGAACAAAGACAGCTGAACAAGAACACACACAAAACATGACCTACACTTACACACAGTGCATGTAGTTCAATCTCTGCTGTGTCTTCTGACCTTCCACGTGCACACACAGACATACATGTGTGTGCATGCTCATGCAAACACAGCCCATCTTTTCCTCTCTCTTTAAGTCTAAAATAGATGCAGGCCCCAAACCACAGCTACCAGTGGAACACTGTGAAAATAACAGCGACACACTTGTGCTATAGGGGTGTGTGTGTGTGTGTGTGTGTATATAGAGTGTCTGCTTGCTTTAACTGGACTGTGAATATAAGCAATCTCTTCTGAGTTCATTAGGAGAGGAGTGTAAAAGAAAGAAAAAAGTGAGGATGTTAAAATGCTAAATGCTAGAAATAAAACAGGGTTTGATTCATTAGTGAAACATGTGGCATAACGTAAAAAGAGAAGAGAAACAACAACAGCAGTGTACAACAGAATAAGATAAACAAGAGATCAGCCATTGATTAAAAAAAAGACTAATATACAAGATGAACTGCAGATTCCTCAGTTAAGAAACCACCAGAATAAACAGGACATAGCACACAGATGGGATTGACGACAATAATGAGTTTTTTGTGGAAAAAAAAATATTGCTCATGCAGTCAAATAACTCTTCATCTTGTCATCTTGTTTAGATAGTGTATGTATGTGTGTGGGTGGGAGCAGGCATCTATATACACACCTCTTTAGCTGAAGGAAGAGCTATGCTGACAGCGCGCTGACTAATGAACCATGTGATAAACAGTCCTGATTTCAGCAGGTGTGTGTATGTGTACAAAGTACAGCTGCTGAAGCTTCAAATTGGTCCAAATGATGTCATCAGGGTAAGACACAAGGTCAAATGACGCAGCGAGAAACATATAGACAACAAGAGATACGGTGGGATACATGTTAGCCAGATAAAACTACACACCCAGTTGGAATATACTAATGTTCCTAATATGTCCTTTATGTATTGATATACTGTAATTGTTATATCTGACTTGCATATGCTACTATACTACAAGATTTAGATCTATACTTCACAGACTACAGTACGCAGAAACCAATAAACCAAAACATACAGTGGAACAAGTCAGATCAATGGTTACAGTAAAACTAGATTAACCTTTTTAAAAAACTGCTGGTTTGTGTTTCTAAACATTGCCGCCTGTGTAAATAGCAACCGGTAATTAGTAACTGGAATACTAGTATTTATAGTGTATATGGGATATGCATCACCAGATTTCTCCGAGCTCCCACTCCACGGCCCGTTCCACCTCCTGTAATTTTCCAGTAGCTGAAGTGACGTCCAGAACAAGAATTTATTACAAGAGAGATATTTCATTATCCATTGACCAAATGGGCTCTATTCTCATTAAGTGCTCAACTCATTAATACATTTTGCATACTGCAACAGATTTTATTTTTTAAATGAAATCCACGAAGATTTTAAAGTTTGCCTTCAACCAGATTTTGAGCATTTGTGTATTTTGTTGGGTTTCCCTACCAATGAAGTGAGACTTATTGTGCGGTATTTCAGTGTGTATGCGTTTGTGTGTGTTTCTGTGGTCTTGGAGTAAAACGGTTGCTGTCGGTGTTGTTGGAAACGTAAACAAGTGTGCATGTTTACGGCCGGGTGAAAAAGCAACATCTGACAGGGTTAGCGAACGCCTGTTTACTGCAGTGCAGCGTGTGTGTGTGTGTATGTGGTGTCTACATCTGTGTCAATTTTGGCAGAAGACCAAAAGAGAAAGGAGAGACCGCATGACAAGAAAACGTAAATACAAACACATTCACTCTCTCTCTCTCTGTCTTTCTCTCTCACACACACACACACTTTATTGACCGACTTCGGCTCCACTGAACTATGCGCCGAATTACTGTAATCACTATAATCACTTATAAACATGCCTTTAACACTTTATAGACCTCTTTCTCTGTTTCTCTCTCTAACACACAAACACACACACACACACACACACACACACACACACACACACACACACACACACACACACACACACACACACACACAGTACAGTACTAATTCTCAAAAACAAATGGATCCACAAATCTCATGGTGTATATGGAGGATGGTTCAACAATGGTAAATGATTAATGATTGATACTTCTGATTATAACTGTGATCATAAGAATACAAAATAAAATATCTCCTGGTCACAAGGATTACAACTTCCTCATGTGGCCATGCACATTTACACATTTACCTTAAAACTGCTGGACAGTAAGTGTCAGCAGCACTGACTCTGCAGTAAACTCAAATGAGCTGATTTAACATCTGGCAAGGGAACAAGAATTTAAACTAAACACTGCGGCTATGACTAGCATATTCATACACTGATTAATTATGCTGATTAAAGTGCGTTGTCCCTAGACCCTAGAATGTGCATGAATAAAAAGCAAACAAGCAAACATGGTCCTGGAAAACCATTTGGCACCACCAGGCACTGTCATGTCCCCTATGCTATTAGGCCACATCTTCACTGATAAATCACACTAGCAAAATATGCAGATTTCCAGGAATTAACCACTTCTTTTTATAAGACAGAACATGTCTTGACTGAAAAGAATCGAACTGTCAATTTTAAACTAAATTTGGTTGGTTTTGGTCAAACAGAACTAGACATAAAAAATACTGAACATGCAAAAGATGTTTGTCTGTTGTCTGTTTGTCTGTCTGTAAATACATATATCTATTGACACAATGATAAGGGATTGAGAAGTGACAGGAAGTCAACAGTAACTCAAATAACCAGCAGAAGACCTCAATGGGTTCTAATCTTGTCAGCTAAAAACATAAAACTGAGGCTACACTTTGCACTGGGTTACCAACAGAAGACTGTTGAAGAGCAGAAGAGCTGATTTGTTTTGATTTTTGCTGCCTCGGATAGCACGGTCATAATTTAGCATAAACAACAAGAAAGCATGGATTCGTCCTGTCTTGCATTAACAGTTCAGGGTGCTGTTCCTTTTGTAAGGGCGTGGGGGACCATTAGTACCAACTGAGCATCGTTTAAATGACACAGCGCCCCCTGAGTATTGTTGCTAATTAGTCCATCCCTTTATGACCACAGCGTACCCATCTTCTTTTAGCTGTTTCCAGCACCATGTCAAGAAGCTCTGGCCTCTAGATCTAAATCCAATAGGGCACCTTTGGGATGTGGTGAAATGGACCACATCATGAAGGTGCAGATAACAAATCTACAATAACTGTGTGATGTCATGTCAATATAGACCAAAATGTCTGAGGAATGTTTCCAGCACCTTGTTGAATCTGTGCCATGAAGAATTAAGCCAAAAGAAGGTCCAACCCAGTAGTAGCAAAGAATACCTAAAGTGACCGGTGGGTGTACATTTTGGTTTTTACTATAAAAGAGAGTTAAGAGAAGGAAGAGTACAAGGAGGTAAGAAAGGCAGTAGGGGTTGGGCTTGAAGAGTGTAACTGATGATCTGTCAAAAGGTCCTTTAAAACTTCTGCCAAGAGTAAATGATCCATAAGGTGCCTGAGTGAAAGAGTTTATGTATTTGCATGTATATGCATGATTTTACGAGTGTCTACCTTGCAAAAATTATGTGAGTGTATATTTTTTATGCATGTGCCTGCACTGTGTAACTTATGCAGCTGTGTATGTATACCTGTTTGTAGTGGTATTATTTCTTATTTTTTTCACATACCTGTGTATATTATTTCAAGGGTGCGTGTACTGATGCATTTAAATATGAGTCTCTGTGTTGGCTGTAAGGTGTTAAATGAATAGGGTCCGTGTTTTTGCCTGCTGAGCCTTAAAATCTGCACCAAGGGACCAGCTTACAAGGCTGTCCACCAGCACGCACACAGTATAACATGCACAGATTACAACACACACACACACCACTGATTTTACCACTGAAACTGTTCAGTCAGCAATCTGGTAGCAATGCAGTTCCCTCCCAAATTCTTTGATACTTTAGTTGGATCTTTCAGTATTTACATTGCTGGAACTGTTTGTTTTCTGCAAGAGACAGCAGAATTAAAGTATTTTGACTAAAATGATGAATGGGAAGTTCCCATCCTATAATCCCATGGTTGCATTTATCTAAAATACTAAAACCAACAACTCAACAGAGAGGCAGAGTAACAACCTTTAAATAGGGTTACCTTAAGTTTAATTCATTTTTATTTATACAGTGCTAATTTACAGCAGCAATGGCCTTGAAGTAGCCCGGCAACCTGAGTATTTAGTAGCATAACTGAAAGATGGCTCAGGGTCGCTTCATCCCATCCTAAATGTATTAAAAAGGAAATTTTGAGTCTAATTTTGAGTCAGTCTAAGTGGAATGTAGACAAGTAAACCAATGACTCACCAGGAACAGCGAGATTCTGGACTTGAGCAGGGACCTGGACATTAGCCTCAGAGGCCAGGGTGAGACGCCCCCCTTTGCCGATTCGTTCACAAAGCAGGGTGATGTGCTTCTTGAGACGGGCAGTGTCACTGGGGAGGCCCAGCACTGATCCTCCTGTCTGCGCCAGAGAAGTAGCCTGGTCCTTGGGGTTCTGTGACAAGCAGGTCCGTAGGAGGTGGGAGACGGCAGCATCACAGCTCTCTTCCCAACCCTGTGGAAAGAAATAGGAAGCTTACCTTATACACTACCACTCATTTCATGATTATTTACATTGTAGATTCTCACTGAATGTGTCAAAACATGTTCAATATTTTAGATTTTTCAAAACAGCCACCCTTTGCTTTGTTTACTGCTTTGCACACTCTTCTCTCAATGAGCTTCATAAGGTCGTCACCTGAAATGGTTTTCTAACAGTCTTGAAGGAGTTCCCAGAGATGCTGAGCACTTGTTTGCCCCTTTTGCCTTCACTCTGTGATCCATCTCATGCCAAAGCACAGATTTCACTGGTCTAATGTTCATTCCTTGTGGTTTTTGGCCCAAACAAATCTCTTCTCCTTTTTGCCTTTCTTTAGTAGTGGTTTCTTAGTAGCTATTTGACCATAAAGGCCTGATTTCCACAGTCTCCTCTGTTGATGTAGAGATATGTCTGCTACTGGAACTCTGTGTGGCATTTATCTGGGCCCTAATCTGAGGTGCTGTTAACTTGCGGTTTCTGAGGCTGGTGACTCCGAAGAATTTATCCTCAGCAGCAGAGGTGACTCTTGGTCTTCCATTCCTGCGACGGTCCTCATGTGTGCCGGTTTCATAGTAGCGCTTGATGGTGTTTGCAACCGCACTTGGGGACACATTCAAAGTTTTAGCAATTTTAAAGTAATGATGAACGGTTGTTTCTCTTTACTTAGCTGATTGGTTCTTGCCATAATATGAATTCTAAAAGTGGTCAAATAGGGCTGTCAGCTGTGTAACAACCTGACTAAAACACAACTGATGGTCCCAACCAAGAAGGCAAGAAATTCCCCAAATGAACCCTGACAAGGCACACCTGTGAACTGAAAACCATTTCAGGTGACTAAATCATGACCCTTATTAAGAAAAGGGTTTGCAGCACTGTCAACAAAGCAAAGGGTGGCTACTTTGAGGAATCTAAAATTTCAGACAAGTTTAGAGTTATTTATCAATTTTTTCTTTGCTACATAATCCCATATATCTTGCTTCATATATTTGATGTCTTCAATATGTATATACAAAGTAGAAAGTAGTAAAAATAAAGAAAAACGCTTAAATGAGAAGATGTGTTCAAACTTTTCACTGGTAATGTATGTTTAAATTATTGAGATACAGGCTGAAAGAAGAATGACATAATGGACACAGAAGGCCTACATTATAGTAACTGTCTTAATAAGTTTTCAGAAACAAGAAATCAACATTCAGAGAAAATAATAAATACTATCAGATTGTAAACTTGTGTTTCTGTTATTAACTAGCAATGTAGAACTAAGACTGGGAGGTGTGAGTTTCGATTTGTGCTTCACTAAAGTAAAAAAGGGATGGCGCAAAAAGAAGCTAGAGCAAAGAATAGAGGATACAAATTTGCATAACAGAATACATTAAACTCTTAATTCAAGGCAGATCCACTCATAAACAGAGTAAGAAATGAGGAGGAAAGAACCACGAGTGCATGACTTTGGAAAGGTGATGGAGAAGAGACAAATAGTTAGAATAAACTATTTTAGCCTTTTAATTTGATGCCCTGTTGAATTTTGAATTTATGAGAGAGCAAGAAAATGATAAGACATTCAGAATCGAAAGAAACGAAAACACACACGCACACACACACAAAGCCACAGTAATAAAACAGTGAGGAGGGTTTGGTCTTTTGCTGTCCTCGTTCACCATCTCTCATCCTTCACCCACACATACATACACGAATATACCCAACTCATCCTACTAAAAACCAGTGAACCCAGAATCTCTCATTTGAATGGGTGATTTAGATGGGTAGGTCTGAGGATGATGCGGTATGTGCGTCAGTGTGTGTTGGGAGGGTAAGGGTGTGTTGACAGGTACCCCTCCACCATCACACCCCCCCCCCCCCCCCCCCCCCCCCCCCCCACACACACACACACCTCGTTCTCCTGCCTGCCGCCATGCTGATAGGCCCCTAATGAGCCATAATGACAGGTAATCAACCCTGTAATGATGATGACAGAGAGATACAGACAGACACAGGGGAAAGAGCGAGAGAGAGAGAGAGAATGCAGGAGTGTGAGAGAGAGAGCAAAAGAGGACGAAAGAGCGAGAGAGAAAATGGTCGGGGGGGTTGAAGGAGATGAGATGATGATGGAGGGAAAGGCAGACACCAAAAAAAATTAAACATGTGGAAAGCCGAAAGATGAGCAAAGACAAGAGTAAAGAAAAGACACTGGACGAGTCTGGAAGGAGAAAAATTAAAGAGGAGGGGTAGGAGGAGGCGAGATAGAGGTGGGTGACCTATTCTTACAACAATACCTCACCAGGTTATCAAATGGAACAACATAACTGCAGGTTTCTGTGGAAACTTGGCATGCTCATGCACGCGCTCGCTGAAACATACGTTCCACATGCTGCGGAAGAAAATTAAACGTCTCTAAACCTAAACTGCAGACATTCATCCTCCTGAAGGAGAAGAAAGGAAGCAAAGAAAGGTGGAGCTGAGCGGCTTTGGATCAAGGCCAGAGCGATAAATTACGGCAAAGTTCCCACTAATGCAGAAATAGAAGAGGAACTTGTTTTCTGTACCAAGAAACAAGAGAGGTTTTGTATTATTGGGTCGTCTTTGAAGACTTTTTGAAAAGAGAAGTTGTACAAGTGCAGCAGCAAAGAAGCATGACAGAGCTTCTATTTTCCTTGTGTTTATGATAGCAAAAAGGAATCTTTTTTTGCGCTTTTACCAACACTTCAGAGTGGAAAGCTTTAGTTTTGTGTATATTGACACTGTATAGACATGGATTACATCAGTAAATAAAAGTACCCTGTTGAATAACACTGAATGTATGATTATCCAAAATGTTAAGAACGCCATTTTTACCTTGTTTTTTCTTGAGTGCACAAAAAAGCTGATATTCAGTGAGAACAATACCAATCGCATCACTGAGTGAGAGAAATTGATGCTAAATTGTTAACACTTCGTGACTGAAAAGTATTTTTTGAGTCATACATTAACTCCGCATTATGCCGCATTACAAACAAACACATTAAAATAAAGCACATGTGGTATTATTAGCTTAGACAAACAGAACCAGTTATGAATAGTTTGTCCTTTAAACCTGTATAGCTTCAATGTTCCACTGTTGAAGTACCAACAAAGACAAACCTTTTTTTTCTTTTTTCTTATTAAATAGTTTCCTCAAAAAGCCTATGGACTGCATCAGGAATATCAGGTCTGACAAAGGGAGAAACCCTGGGTGTAACTGCAGAATTACAGGCTGGCAATACATAAATTATAACAGAGTCTAGCACACAACCTTGGAGGACTCCCAAAGAGACAGGTAAAGGTTCAAAAAGCAATCCCTCTGCAGTCATGATATCCTCATCAAGACTGCGAATGTCATTTGAGAGACCGGAGTTACGGCTCTGTGAGAACAATGCCATACAGTCAGTCTCAGGGGGAAACATTACCCACACAATCATCCTAAGACCAAATCAAGAGTGGATTTAGTACAGCATCAGCTACTTTCCTTAACTTCTGGGTACAATCAACTTTAATACATCTATTTACTGTAAATGCCTAGTTACTGACAATCAGAAGCTCTCAGAGTCAGAAGGCCTATTATGTTATAAAGAAACCTGTGGTTTGACTACAGATCCACAATATGAAGCAAGAAATTATGGACAAATATAAGGACACGGAGGAAGGAATGCATGAAGAGAAAAAGGAGGTGTTCTGCTTGGCTGCAACTAAATGAGACGTTTCGTTAGATACCCCACAGATGCATTTCCTCTGGTGTTCCTCCTCCTCCTTTTTTCTCCACCTCCTCCTTGTTTTTGACCTTGTTATTATAAATATTTCTATTTTCTTTCAGATAAAAAGCAGTGTAATGAGCCTGCACTCAAAAGAACTCCTCTTCTTAATTCCAAATATCCTGAGAAGCATAAACTTTGCCACAGATTTTTGCCATTCTTTGTGCTTTCCAATCACATAATATGAAAGTGACATGGGTCATTTGGTATTGCATTATATATTTTAGTTATTCTGCGTTTCAGTGAGCAGAGATTGCTGTGTATAGTATCTCCTTTGTCAAAATGTCTCAACTTTCATATTTCAGTCTTCTACAATCTCAGTCTCAGAGGTGCAGCAACAGGTGCATGTTCAATGGTTTTTCACAGAGCTGTGCACAATGATTTTTTTTAAAGTGGACACCAATTGTTGTTCAATATGAGCTCCACTACCTGTGACTTCATCATTATCCCCAAAATAAAGTTCAACTTCAAATGTCATTGTTCTGAAACCAAGCGGAAAACTCCAGAGCTGAAAATGAAGCAATTACTGTGTGTGTGTGTGTGTGTGTGTGTGTGTGTGTGTGTGTGTGTGTGTGTGTGTGTGTGTGTGTGTGCAGCATTTATGCCTTTATGAGCATTTTTAATGGATTACCTGACTAATGTTATGACTTACACTGCGGTACAGAGCATCCAAAAAGTTATTGCTTTGGTTTTGGAGACTAAAATTCCAGCATTTTTTTAGTCTGAGCACCAGTTACCTGATATGCATGTCTGTGGATTGTAGCCATATCGTTTATGAATTTAGTTTGCTAACTAAGCTAATTAGCATCAGCTGATAAATTATAAATCCACCCTCTCGTGAGTGATGTCAGCGTGGCTCCATCCATCGTTCACACTGACAATGAACTGTATGCACAAGTATCTGGGTCAGAATGGCAGCGACCTATGAATAGCAGCCACATTGCTGTCCTGTCCTAGGACATACCTTACAGGAAAAATTTTAATTGCATGTTTGTCTGTTTATTATTATTTTTAATGAGTGGACCAACAGAACTTTGGGATCATGTGCTGTACTGGAGTTTGCTCTCCAAAAACAGTATGTCGATCAGGATCATCTCCGCGGGTAAAACTGCTCAGTGAGACTGAACTGAAATTATGTAAATTGCATTTTTACTGAAAAATGAAAAAAGTTCTGCATTTGAAAAAGATCCAATAAATGGGTAATGGGTAACAGAAGAGTATGTAGGAATTTACTAATGAATTCAAGATGGAGAAATATTTAACTAAGTTAGCCAATCGTTCATTTTGGCTGAAGAATTGATAACTGTTCCACCCCCATTCTCCTCAGAGACTTTATTCATATCTGTGACAATCCTGGAACTAACTGAGTGACGGACTTGTACTCACCTGGAATGACCTCGCCAGTGCACCCACAGAAACGGTAAAAAGTCCAGATGAAAATTTAGTGTTTTTTGAAAAAAGAGTTTGCAAAATTCCCTCTCAACAAAAGAAGTGCCTAGATGTAATAAGCCAAAAATAACATGTTACACAAAGAAAAATAAATGTTCTAATAACTTAATAAAAACTCCACTGGAATCTTGATGTTGTCACAGCACTGCATCAGGTAATGTAAATTTCCTAAAATAACCCTTCAGTCCACCTGTTTGTCTTAATGTTGTGGACATGACCCTAATTACTACTAATTTACTTAATGCCATTAATCCCATTTATAATAACACACACACACACACACACACACACAAACTTACTTTCACAGTCCCTCGAGGCTCATCAACTGACCCTCTGAAGCTATTTCTGTCTACAATCACAGTGTGTGCGTACTGTAAGATATTTTATGCACAGTTGTGTGCATGTGTGTAACTCTGCGCCGTTAGCGAAAGCTGGAAATAGACACGGTGGTAATGAGAGGTTCAGGGGATTGATCAGAGCTATGGAAAAACTAATACAAACACACCCACAGTGGGCACTCGCCGTCTCGATGGAGTGACAAATCTTTCGTGGTCTGACTGCAGCAAATGGAGGAGCTCTGTCAACACGGCAGTGCACAACCCACGCTCACATAAGCACAAACACACATTCAAACACACTCTCACACAAAGCTTGACGTCTGAGTCAGAGGCTCTTTAAAGAGCAATATGCCATCTATTCACACTAGGACCTTTCTTTGACCTTGACCTTTTGCGTGTATTTGTGTATTTTATATATATTCACACATGCATGCACACACACACACACTCACACACACATCAGATTTAATGGTCAAATTATGAACAGGTACCACAGAACACACTCTGAGTCTGTGCAGAGCTGACGGGTGAGTGTTGAGTGCTAAAAACTGAATGTGTGATTGAGTCTGTGTGTGTGCGTTTGTGTGTGTATTCCACAGAGACCAGAAGTACTTAATGTATTTTAAAAGTTTTTAGAGAGTGTGTTTAAGCTGGGTCTATGTATACTGAGCAAGCTGCAGATGGATGGACAGATACTGACATGTTAATGGCCACCTGTGTGTGTGTGTGCGTGAGTGAGAGACTGTGTACCAGCTGCGGTGTGTCCTGCAGCAGAGGAAGCAGTGTGGCCTCCAGGATGCTGGTCTGATCGGGGGTCAGGCCCTGCCACAGGGACAGCAGGAGCACGAGAAGGTGTGTGGCACTCCGCAGACGAACAAACGCCTCTTCCAGCAGTGCCCGGTTCTCCTCTGCAGCCTCTGCCAGTGCCATTACCTGGAGGAGACAGGAGCTGGTAAATCTCTCCTAATCATCACAAGAATCACCATTGCATACAGAGGTGATGAAAATGCATTCATACATCAACGGTTTGCATTTAAGGAGCTGTGACTTCACCTCTGATCTTGATCCAGTTTGTTTTACAAAAAACTTGAATACTTGTCAAAAATTATAAACATGCTTCAAAGTCAGCCAAGAAAAATATAAATCTGCTGGCTACCCAACTTGACCTCTGGTTCCAGTCATTTTGAATTTTTGTGTATTTTCTTCTGAGTCATCTCCATAATTATTATATTTTCTTAATATGACACAAAAGCCAGATTTCCCCCTTTGCTTTCTTGCTGGACCAAATGACAAATCATCCCTAAAAGCCTTGCTGGGTCACTTTCTCTAAAACACACCCATTTATCCCCAAAGACTTGAAACATCAGCGGCAAAACCTGTGTAAACAGTTTTATGAGCATCGAGTCTGCAGCTTCTTCATTACTCTCACTGTGTGTTAGCCTGAATTCACCCTGAACCACTTCATCTTTGTGTATTATTTTTATAACGGGGGTCACAATTCCCTGCTGCAATATTAAGATCTCACAGTTCCCTTTTGGCCTTTAACATCTGAAATTAAATTTTAAAATAATGTGTAGGGATGACATGTTTGGCAAGATTTTTGATGGACTACTAGTTACAACGCAAGTCAAACACACTGCTTTGTCAGAGATGAAAGAGACAGTCAAATCATTTGTTAAACTGCTATACACACAGGATGATTCTTCCTTCCTTTCTTGTCTAGTTTTAGCTAATCCGGTATATTTACAATGAAGCTAGAGCCTAAATCTGCATTCTATCTTAAGGCCACTAGAGGGCGACAGCTGTAGTTGCAAAAAGACGTCTGGTCCAGTAGAAGTTTATGGGAAAACAGCTTTCTGTTATTTCTTGTTTAAACATGTTCTTGCTCAGTCCATGGGCTCAGTCTCTTATGTTGGGACATAATGAATAAAAAATGAACTCTGTTTCGTAAATCTTGATCATACCGCGTTTCAAAAAAGAGGATTATCTCATGTGTGAGGCTACATGACAAGCAACCCGTCAATGACAAGTTATCAGCCAACCGGTGTGTCCCTCCTCATCACATCCAGGTTTTTGCAACCAAGTTCGCAATGGTGAAAATGCTCGAAGGTGTCACAGTAGGTATGTGGATCTGGGTCCAATTCTAGTTCCCTTGAATGGTTAAGACTCTTGACCCATAAGACCCATATAAACATTAGTTTGGTAGTAGTCAGTTAAGCTACACTGGAAGTGATTCACAGCATTGTGGTGACCAGAAATTATAGGAAGTAACTGACATTTCGCAACTTAAAGATACTACAGGTGAATTAACCGCTGGGAACAGAAAGATTTCAACATATTTCAACATTTCTCAACTTCCAGGACAGCAACTGAAGAAACTAATTTAACCTGGGAATGAAGAATAGCACTGACTGATATATGACCTGTTAGTACATATATGTATATTCATTACATAACTAACCAGCTCTCAGCTTAAAGGTAATGCGTAATATGCAAATCACACCATTTTACCACTTTAGGACTCATATCAATTGGAAGATATTGCATTCAATATCCACATTATAACACCCACTTAAAGTTCCCACCTGTATGCTCGGTATGTTTTTAAAAATCATTGCTTTGACAATAACATCTTAAATGCAATACTTACAGGACAGTTCTGCAACAATTCTGTAAATTAATTAAACATTACCAGTGGAAATCTTCCTTTTAGGATTTTTTTCTAATATTTCTTCAACTTCTTAAAAATTCTTTCACTCTTTCCTTTACCAATATATTCTTCAACAGGAGGAAATAAACCCCAGTCCATTATTTCCATGCCCTTCAGCCTTTGTGCTTTATGGCTCTTTCCTGCAGACTACTGGATTTAGTTTTTTTTCTCTGAACAAACTGCACCGCTGTTCTCCTGTTAGAGCACTGGAAATCCCATTTAGAGAATGTTTACTACGGATTTTCTTCTTTCTCAAGTTTAAAAATAAACAAAACTAAAAAGACGAAACACAGCAGAATTCAAATAAATTGTTCTCTACATGTAGAGACTGCTTGCTCTGATGACTTGCCCATACACTCGGTTGGCAGTATTTTCGAAGGCATGTTTTCTTAAGAATTGTAGGAATCAAAAACATAGACGGGGAGCAAAGAGGAATGAAATACTTGCTTTGCAATGAAGATTAGGTTAAACAGCACAAAAGTGAGGGTTAAGCTCTTCTAACGTTTACTCAAGTACGCAGCTCAGCAGTAGAAGGCAGAAAGAGAGAGAATACATATATGAGGTGTGGTAGGACCATGTGAACTCTGACCTTCAGTGAGGGGTCAGTCCCTTCATCCCTGTATCATTGCAATAACAGAGGAGTGGAGATGAGTAGAGAACAAGCGATGAAAGAGCAAGACGGATGAATAAGAAGACAACAAGAAAGGGCAAGCCGGATGAAGACAAGGAGGGAAATGAGAGAAGCAGGAGGAGGAGGAGAGAGATGAACGGACAGAGAGAGAAAAAGAAGAGGTGAAAGCAGATCTGGGACTAATGGAAGAGTGTGTATTCAGATAAATGAGTGATCTGCAGGCCTGAGTGCCAACGTACGCCAGGAGTTTGTTTGACAAATGGATTCAGCGCTTGCCATTTGATACTGCGAAAACAGAGATGGAAGACTCAGAAATGACGTGTGTGTGTGTGTGTGTGTGTGTGTGTGTGTGTGTGTGTGTGTGTGTGTGTGTGTGTGTGTGTGTGTGTGTTGGGGAGAGAGAGAGAGAGAGAGAGAGAGAGAGTCAGTGAGTGAGAGAGTGAGTGTATAGCTGTGTGCATGCTAGGGTAAAGCACCAATTGCTTAAGTAAGCCGTTTTGATTTGCGTAATACTAAACTACAAACATGAGTACATGGGTACGAGAGCCTCCTCTAAGACTTGCACACTAAGTGTAAACAGTCAGAGTTAAAGTCTTAATTCACTTCCTTTCATTTGGTGGTAAACCTAAAAGGACTCAAGCATTCATTCAAGGCTGAGGTCATCTGTGGGTGCCATGTCATTCACAACTCTCAAGTTAGACACACATGCACACACATGCATACGCATTCTTGCCAAATGATTAACTATTTCTCATCACTGTCTTGCCAGTCTAACCCAGTCTAACCTTCATGAGTACACAAAGACATAAGCTTGGCTTAAGTCTTTTAAAGAAGTGTGACCGAATGTAAATTATTTCTGACTCACTTGCTCTCTTCATTTTTTCCCTCTCTTCCTCCCTTGCATCTTGTACAACCATATGGTAAAAAGCTGTAAAGTTCTGCACACTTATTGGGAACACTGCTCAGAGTATTTAGATAAATAATAAATAATTGCAAAATTCTGTTGGATCTTTGGGAGTCTAATTTTGTGAATTGTGAAAAAAAAAAATATACATTTAAAAACACTCACGAGCTACAACTCACGTACATGAACTCTTTATACTCTAATGCTAAATTTCTGCCATGCGCCACACAGACACACACACTGACTACCTTCATCCTTCTCAAGATCCAAACAAAACCCCATCCACCTTCCCCTCGAGATCTCTGAAAATGTGCATGTGTGCACGTCTGTGTGTGCGTATTGATAAAAAGCTCCAGGTTTGGTGAAGGGCTTCATTGTTGGCAGTGGGTTGACTCCACACACACACTCTGATTGATGCCAGCTGAGAGAATACAAAGACACATTTAGCCTAAACACCCCCCCCACACACACACACACACACACAGAACAGAGATATAAAAACATGCAAATGTGAACACACATCCATTTACACACAGATATGTACAGAATATATACACAAATGTTAAAAACAAATAACCAATACAAATCAGCTTCCAGGAAGCCTGGACAGAAAAGGTGCTTAAAAAAATTCTAAACTTGGACATCAACACCATCCCTCTCACAGCTATTTAGTTGTACGTCAGCAGCTGAACTACTGGTGACCTTAAACAACCTGCAGTTGAAGCTGCTGGGGTTACGACCTCCCGAGGTGTCTGCAATAAAGTCTGGAGTCTATTTGAAACATAAAGGGACATTCTGCTGCATCTTATGCACTTAAACCTGGTTTACATCTCAGTGACAAGGCACAAGTTTGTGACAGCGTCATGGCCCTTTAACCTAGACCGTCAAAAAAAAAAAGTCAGAGGGAAAGACTGAAAGTCTATGAAAGATGTTATTAAAGAAAAATTCCCTCTATTAGAATTTCTTCCATCCATTCACTTGTTCAGATGCAAACACAGAGCACAAAGCTTCCAATACAAGCCAACATTTTACGTTACTCTGGGGATTGCAAACCACACACAGACACATACACAAACAGTCATGTTTATCTATTCACGCACAAATGCACAAAGATATGCACACACATGTACTGAGAAAAATACCCAAGAAAAGTACAGAAAAACACAAACAGAAATTAGCAATACCCCTATCTACCAAATCCATGGAAATGCAGTATTTAGAGCACACACTCTATATCCACACACACACACACACACACACACACACACACACACACACACACACACACAACAAAATGTAACTGACTCTTAAATTTAAGCTGAGATGCAACAAACATTTAAAAAGTTAGAGTTAAGAATTAGCTGCCCAGGATTCACATTTGGCTGCCATGCTGTTCAAAGGAAGGAAGGGAGGAGAAAAAGTTTCAGAATGAATTCTGTGCTTGACTAATGAAGTTTATTCTCAGTATATAAACCAACCTAGCACCCTTAAAATCATGTATATATGATGAGCAAGATATAGCTAATGTCATGTTCCTTTGAATTAACATAATGTGAAGATGGTTACAGTGATCATTCCAGTGCGCAGCGTTTAGGTCAAAGAAAGCAGCACTTTGAACTTTTTAAAATAGACAGGGCCACCTTATCTCTCAGAATAACCAACATAGCCAATAACTTAAAATAAATATG